TGGGCCCGTGTGGTGGGTCATGGCCCAGTCTCCCAATGCTATCCATAGGGAAGGCCTGTGCCCCAGCAGTGGGGACATTAATAGGCTGATGATGATGATGAATACCAATTGTGCGGCACGCCGGGCTGTTGTAGTAGCGAGAAGTTACCGACCCGCACTTATTAGGTGGAGGGTCGAACGGAGGTGTCTTGACGATGGAAGTGGATTGTAGCTGGCGAAATAAAACCTCTCAAGATTCGTTGTCGAAGAAAGTCGGTGTGCGCTGTTAATGGATGTCCGGTAAGAAGTCTTCAAGATCCAGAGAGAACCGCTAATTATTCCTTCTTCTTATTAGTAGGAGCGCATGTCGCTGAATGACACAAACAAATCTCAGTACCAAACAAATCGCACCAGTAAAGTTAGTTTTAAACAATAATCACTATGAATTCATTTCAATTATTGAATTTGTTCCACCTGGATTTGGTGAAATGGGCCATTACAAGGCACATTGCAAACGTGGGAATATATGGCAGTGTTACAACGATCTGAATAATAGAATTACAAAAAGTAATAAGAAAGTAATGTGCTGTATAATATATTTAAAGAGAAGAAACACAACTTTTTTTTATTAAATTATTATTGTTAGTCAATATTTGTTTTATTTAATTGCATTAATCACTTTAAATAAGTTTGGGTATTGCATAAGCAGGAAGTGGCGCCTGTTCAAGCAATACCCATTATGCACTTGATTTCGAATTTGCTCGTATAATTCTACAGGCGTACAGTTTTAAAATAATGTCTGAACGCTCAATTGATTATAACTCTTTATCCTTAAAAGCTGGGAGGTCCAAAACGATATATATAAAGGTAGCAACCTAGTAGCAACTATTGCTTTAAAAAAATCTCCATTTAGTGACGCAGTTTGTTCTCACTGGATAGGTGACCAGACATTCTGACGTCAGAATGGCTGGTCACCCTAAAAAGTAGTTTATTTTGTTTTAATCGGGGGTAGCAACTATTTAACGATTAGTAGCAACTAGAAGCAACTAGGTAGCAACTTTCTATAATTATTTCGATGTAAAATATGGGTAGTGACCGGCGATTCTGACGCTCACCATTAATTCATAGTTCTTGATTAATATTGAAGAAACGTGAATGCAGTAAAGCAGAACAGAACCTCTGGACCAAGGGCGATATTTTATGTTTGGAGACTATCAAACTTCAATACCTTTTTGATACTATTTGATACCTACATTAAATTATTTAGTATCTCGACGAGCGCTGAAAAAACATGAATAGAAAGTAGTCGGACATTCTGACGCAGGTTGTCTGGACCACATTTTTTTCAAAACATTTTTATTTATATTCAAAGGGGTACATAGGTACGTACCTACTTGAAAAACTAACCAGCACAGATCCACCTCCGCAATGAATAAAGTCTGACCTTGTCAATAAGGGCCGTATTTTGAAATGCGATTCAGGCCATTAGATGTTTCTATCGGGGCCCCTCGAAACTAGACTTGAAATTGAAAGTAGAAATAACACTTTTCCCTTCTCGTACCGTCCAACTAACATTTTTTAGCGAATAATAATCGCTTCTCTCGTTGCTTGGTAAGAAGCGGTACCTTTCGAGCGATTCTTCCAAACAATTTAGTATCAGTCTTGACGAGATGTTTCTCGGGTCATCAGGCGAAAAAACTTAAATCTGGTAGGAGTCATTGCTTGTGTCTTTTTTTTGCAACACCGGCGATAAGTGTATCTTTGGGAGAGGTTTTTCTTAAGAACATTTTCTACAGTTCCATGTGTTTTATAATGACCAATTGCATTAAAAACTTTTTTACAGAACAATTTAAATGCTGAGTTATCCTTCTGTACGCCAACTTATGACGCATCACAACTTTTATTTTTGCCCATTTTGAACAAAATAAAGTTCTGATTAAATTTTGAATTGCCGCCAAAATAATAGAAAAAGTCAAGAAATAATGTTATTCACCAATTTAAGAAATAGAACGAGCTATGATGCTTTTTTAAAATGTTTCTAATTTGGCGTCCAAGCGGCCAGCAGAAAATAAACTCCTACATGTGTAAGACTCATTTTGTAATTAAAAGTAAGATATGTTTTATATTTTATGCATTTAATGAGTTTTTATTCGAGTGGCTGTATTATTAATTACTGAATGTGTATATTTTTTTGACGAACATTTATTTGTACGTTGAAGTTATACTTTCTTTATTCTGAAGAAGTGTGTATATATAACCACCACTGTATATAATTCATGTATGGCATCTCCATTGGTATATGCTCTAAGTATCGCTCGGATCCTCGGGTCGCCATGCAGGGTTGCCAAACGGATGAGATTTAGCAGTATTTTATATGATTTCATGATGAATTTATATGTGGCTATTTTCCAGCATAAGATTCACCTATGGATGACAGAAAAATTAACATCGAAAGATGAGAACCAGTCAATCTGTTTCTCATGTCGGTGGCGATTTGCCCAGCTTCTGAAAATAGTCTTTCAGAAGGCACAGACGTGGAAATTATTGATAAATGTCTGATTGCCACTCTATAAATATTTGGATATTGGTTTTTAATAGTATCCCAGGCTATGTAAGGGTTTTGTTTTTGTGATTTATTTCTATGTAGGTACTTAACATAATTTAATGTAATAAATGACTAATGACCATGGTCTTTTGCCTCCATGAACATTTTGTTCCAGTTTGACATCTAGAAGAAACATACGTAGTTTCAACTGCATAAACCTTATACCTAGTAAGGAAATAAATTCTGTCACATGTTCAATATAAAATAATTGAAACAAGTTTATTCATTATGTAACCATTTATATACCAAAATGAACTTAACAAAACATAGATACTTATGACAATAAAGTTTATTCAAAATGACCTCCGTGATTTTGAATACAGGCCTTTAATCTGCGCGGCCAGTCGTCTATCGCAACACGAACGAGGTCCATGTCAATATCGGCGGCTGCCTTAATCAAGGATGTTTTGAGTGACTCCAAATTAGGATGTGGCTTTGAGCACGCCTTTTCCTCCAAGTGTTGCCATATCTTGTAATCTAACGGACTCAAATCTGGACTGGAGGAGGGCCAGTCTTCGTGCCGGATTAAGTCGATTTTCAGTCTTGTGTGTTCTTCGCTCTATAAGCTGGCGCCGAATCTTGTTGGAATAGTCAGTGCCTGTTATTGAACATGGTATGAGAAATAGGTTCCACAAGGTTCGTCGGGACTGTATTTTGATACACAACTGCATTCGTTTTTACACTTTTCTCACAAAAATGTACCTCTGTTAAGCCCCAATAAGAAACTCCCAACCATACCATGAGCGAGGACGGAAAATGACCTCGTGTCTAACGCGGAATACGGTTGCTCGCTTCTTCACTACTGTGTGCGCACACCTTATCATTTTGTTTGTTGTAGCTCTCTTATACGGTAAAAATGTTTTCATCCGAAAAAAGAATTTCCCGATATTTTTTTCCCTCGTACCGCTTCAACAAAGCGCGGCATCTCTTCAGTCTCAGGTCCATTAGACGAGCATTCAAACGATGTCCTGTTTTTCTTCGATATACCCGAAGTCCTAAGTCTTCATTTAACACCCTTTCCACCGTGGTTCTGCTTAACCCCATCTGAATGGCCTACAGTTTCTGCTTACGTTTGGGATTTCTTTGAATTCGTGCCTTCACAACTTTTATCACTGCTGGAGTCCGAACAGACCGAGGGCGACCACTTCTTGACCAGTCATCTACACTTGAGTCTTTTGAATAAAGGTAACGGGACTTACGGACTTTTTGAATAAGTGCTAGTTTTCTATAAAATTTAAATACATTAGATATTTATGTAACGAGTTGATTTAACTTCACACATTTTTGCGAAAATTGAGGCCCATCTGCAGTCTTGACCCCGCTGGTAAAGTCTCTATATGTGTTAATAAATCAATCATTTAGACCACCGCAAGGTACTTAATAATTCCCGCGATATTAATTCCCTTACTGAAGTAACAAGACTACGGTATATACCGTCTTAAAATACTAACTAAAAAGTGTGAAATAAAAAAGGTAAATTTATAAAATCAAAAAACCCGACTGCTTAATTATACTTCAAATAAAAACTGAAAAGAAAAAAGCAAGTCTAGTAGTCTATAATTCTGTTAATAAGGGAACAAAGCTACTTTAACAGTCGGGACCCATTATTGAAAAATATTATGTATTCTTGAATATCTAATGGGTCCCGACTGTTAAAGTAGCTTTGTTCCTTATTAACAGAATTATAGACTACTTTGTTTTTTTCTTTTCAGTTTTTATTTGAAGTATAATTAAGCAGTCGGGTTTTTTGATTTTATAAATTTACATTTTTTTTGTGCGCGTGCTAAACTTCTAGGCGTTATTATTGTAAGACCTTAGATTTAATTAAATTTATTTTAAACATTCAACTGCTAGATTGTATAAGATTTTTTGTATAAATGTAAAGAAAGAAATTTTACTAAAGTAGGCCAATGAAAAGCGATATTAAAGTTCATTCACCGACGAGACTATGGGACTGACAGTCTAATAATTTTCTTTTTTATTTCATTCACATTAGGTAGGTCTTATTTGGTCATGTCAAGTCATCGCCGTGCGCTGATCTAACTATACATTGCAAGAGTATTTTAATGACAAGGAATTAAAATGATGATTTTTAGTAATTTAATGTGATATAATTTATTTAATGCAATTTTTATGACATAGATTTTTATTAATTTTTATTGATAAGTAAAATTTTTGATTGGTTTTAAGTTTATATTTATTTATAAAAAAATAAACAAGCACATTGCTATACCAAAAAAAAAATTAAGGGTGAACCACCCTTTACATTTAGAGGGATGAAAAATAGATGTTGTCCGATTCTCAGACCTACTGATATGCATATAAAATTGCACGAAAATCGGTCGAGCCGTTTCGGAGTACTTCAATTACGCACACCGTGAGACGGGAATTTTATATAAGTACTAGCGGCCCGCCCTCGCTTCGCTTCGGTGTAGAGCTGAAGTGTAGACTACAGTTTTTGTTCTCAGGCTTGTATTATACACAATGACATTCATCTATGATTCTTCTTATACCTGCATGCAAAGACTCAGCCCGATCGGTTTAAAATTGACAAAGTTTCATACAAACTTTCATTCCCTTTTAGCCCGGTCCGTCCAGTGGTTTGGGCTGTGCGTTGATAGATCACTATGTCAGTCAGTCACCTTTGAGTTTTATATATATAGATTAGAAATGCCTATTAAAATGATTAAAGTCCTAAGTTGATGTTCATAAATTAAATTTTATTTTAAAAAATATTGCCAACCTTTTATCTACTATGTTTACATTTTGCATGGACTTATAATTTACGTATCACTCTTGATCGCTTCCCGTCGGAACTTTAGAAATAATTCCACGTGGAAATATTATAAAAAATCCTGTCTGATGCCTGGGCCGCGTGGATTTTTTCTAGTAAATTTTATTTAGGTTTATACTAGAAGTTTGTCGTATGTGCTAGGCCAAAAATAAATAAAACAACCCAAATACTATAATATTCTTGTATTGAGCGGGTCCACCATTTTGCCTGCCATTAACGCCACGTGGATACTGGCGTCCATCACGAAGTACAGGAAAGGATACGTCGCAGTGAACGATACAGGCTGTCGGTTTGTTACATATCCTGTGAAATATTAAATACAATCTATACATAATTATAATAAAATGGTAGGAAAGTCAAAACTACATTGAATATTTTTCTTAAAAAATACTTGAGGTGTTATCTACAATCGATACCGAAGCCAAAAATATAGTTTTTAGAATTTTTGTCTGTATGCATGTCCGGGATAAACTCAAAAAGTTCTGTATGGATTTACTTCAAATTTGGCATGAATATTATTAAAAAGTCGGGTCAACATATAGGCTACATATTATCACGCTATCACCTACGGGGAACGAGCAGTGAACCTTTATTTCTATCTAACTCCACGCGTACGAAGTCGCGGGCGGCCGCTAGTTTGAAAAGTACCCTTAAGTTTCGTCATATACATCTCTGACTATCTGATAGTTTTGAAAAATATTTTCTATTATAGCATATTTACACAATCGATGGCACGTCATGGCAATAGAACAATGATTACGGTGTTTTGGGTTCCAATTGAGCTCTTCCTTTTGATAAAATTCTAGGAATTCTAAAATTCGCACTTCACCCTAAGTAATATTGTCTTTATGTAGAGTTTCCAACTTTTATTAAAGGAAACAGAGTATATCAAATTTTAAAGCAAGTAAATAAAGAGTACGGATTTACAAAAAAAAAGTGTCATTTAAAAAAATTAATACGGTTTATTTAGTACTTTTATTTAGCACTATGTAGGGTTGCGTACTCAAAGGGTAAAAACCGGACCATATCACTAAGACTTCACTGTTCGTCTGTCTGTATGTCTTTTTGTCATCAGGCTATATCACACGAACCGTGACAGCTAGACAGTTGAAATTTTCATTGATGATTTATTTTTGTCGGCTCCCATACAGCGCACGTGATTTTTGCCGTTTTTTGCTCTTATTATTAATAACGACAACAACTAGACGCTTGAAATATTCACAGAATATTTATTTGTGTATCATTTTAAAAATAAATAATTATATTGAAATAAAGAAAAAGGTATGGGGGGCTCCCATACAAAAGACGTCATTTTTTGCTCGGTAGGTAGTATAATACTAGCGGCCGCCCGCAACTTTAGTTTTTTGAGAATCCAACAGGAATCTGTCATTTTTCCGATACAAAAAGTATCCTATATCTCAATCCAGCTATTAAACTATAGCCGTACCTAATTTTATCTAAATATGTTCAGGTTTTTTTGCGTGATTGATTGAGTGTGGATTGAGTAGGTCGAAGGAGTAGTGAGTTGGAAATTATACATGCGTAGATCTATACGGGTGAAACCGTGGGACATTGCTAGTATATTATATACTTAAACTTTCTCAGACAAATGCGCATTTATGTACCGAAAACCCCATCCAAATCGGATCAGTAGCTTTTAGATAATTGTGGACAAACAAACATACATACATATCAAACTGAGAACATCTTTTTTTTGAAGTCTGTTATAAGACCGTCTGTGTAGCCGGAACAGTAACAATATAAAAATAAAGTATAAGTATAATAAATGTTTCTTAATACGTTATTTTATGTTTATAAATATAAAATGTTTATTTGTCATCTTAACCTTAAAATACTTCATGTTTGATTAAATAAAATTAAAATATTACAGCACAAGTATGATAGTTATAAAAAAAATGTAATTATTAAAAGTCAGTCAGTTTATGAGCAACTGGTCTTTTTTTTATTCGCACTTCTTACTATTTGTTCGTATACTGACTTTTATTCTTCTGTTAATAACTCATAGTTATTCCTAACTAACCCCTCTAAAGCTAGTTTCTTAATCAATTCTCTATTTTCTAATGCTAGAGATCGGATTGGTTGTGGTAAGCCGTACTCTTTTAGGGAACGCCCGCTTAAAGAGGCTTCTTGAATTTCTATCAGACGATTGTTAAATACTTCATCTGTTAAATGAGGGGTATACAATCGAAGTTGGTAAAGTCCACATTGCTAAAATTTTCAGTAAACGATAAAAACGATTATTTTAATAATAACAGATAACTATTTTAACGTTAAACATTATTTATATGCAGAATATAATACATTATGGAAATACATGTGTACATCACGTTTAGTTCAATACTTTTGAGTAAAACCTTAAGTATAAGATGGACTTTCCCAGTTTTGATACCAAGTTTTGGACTTCACGTGGACTGTACTAAGTTTGTAACTGTAATAAATATAGATACGGAAATGAATGTGTTGTAATTTAAAACTCACTTTTAAAATTTAGTGGACTTTACCAACTTTGATTGTTTACCCCTGAAATGGTCTACCTGCTGTACTGGTCTACTGTCACCTACTACTTGCATTTCGATTTGTCGTTTAAAATCTTCTGAAAAATATGCTTTAAATGCATACCACAGCCTTAATGGACAGACACAGACATTTGGCAAAACAGCAACAGGATAGTAAAATGCTTGAGTATTATGTGGTGATTGACATAATATTGCCTCACTCAATGCTGCATGCCAGTTGTCTTCGTTTTCAAGCAAGCCTAAAGCCTTGCAAGAAACCTAATAAGTACGGTGTACAATGATTTATATTTAGTGTTTTTTTACGCTTCAAATGAATGGGGTAGTGAAAACATTCCGTATTGTTCGGGTGTATTGTATACACTCTGGCCAGAGCATATTCTTTTTAATGCCAGGCGATCCATCTACGTTTACTCCACGTTTCCTTTTTTGGAATCGTGAATTAGTCCAAACATAATATTGTACTGGTAATTTAAAAGGGTTTCTGCAAAATCATCAGTACGACACAACTCAAAGAAGGCAACAAGTGTATTTCTTGGTGGGTTTGTAAGTATATTTGCGAGGTTCTGTTGATTTAAATATACTCTTTGGACATATTCCAGATAAACTGCAATATGAAACACGATGGAGAAACCTTCTTGAATCGGAAATCCAAGAATTCGCCATACCGCCTCTTACTCGTAAATACCTCCCACTTTCGTAAATCTTTACTACACCTTTTTCATTTTCTCAAACAAAAGTGGCATGGTCGGACGATACTCTACCGAGTTCTATAGTATTTGCTGACAGCAGCATAAATTAAAACTTTGCACATGGCAGTACTGATTATAATTTAATAAACTATACCTGATACTTTATTTTTAACCTAAAAAAGGAGGAGGTTCCTAATAAGAATCGTCTTTCCCAGTTTGGGCAAGTGCCCAGGGCCCCGTGATCGATAGGGACCCCCCTCAGATCAAATACAAAGTCCCTAGTTCCTGTTAAATCACCAAACGGGGGTCGTAGGGGCCCCATTATCTCAATATGTCCAGGGCCTCCAATAGGTCAAAGACGGCACTGTTCCTAATCTATACTTATAATAAATCTGTAGAGAGGTCAATTCTGTACATGAAATATATTTTCAAAATAACTATCAGGGGGTGATTGGTGATCGATACTGATGCCAAAAATGCAATCAGTAAATTTTTTGTCTGTCTGTCTGTCTGTGTGTATGTTCCTTATAGAAACAAAAACTACTCGACGGATTTTAACCAAACTTGGTACAATTATTTTTCATACTCCTGGGCAGGTTATAGTATACTTTTCATCACGCTACAATCAATAGCAGCAGAGTAGTGAAGGGAAATGTTGGGAAAACGGGAGAAGTTACTCCATTTTTTAAGCTTCCGTCACGTGCGCAGCCTTAATGGTTAAAGTTACATAGAAATCATGTATGACAAAAATATTCTACATAAAATTGTCTAAAAAATATCCCGGAACAGCATATGTCTATCTTTTATGGTTGACTCACGATAACACGTGTAATTATATAAATAAAGTCATTGTTTATAGCACAAGCCTGAGAACAAAAACTATAGTTTACACTACAGCTCTACACCGAAGCGAAGCGAGGGCGGGCCACTAGTAATATATATATGAACATTAAGTATATATTTTTATTGTTGTACGCACATTTTCGCCGATTGCAATCATTAACTTTTAAGATTCCGTACACAAAGGGCAAAAACGAAACCCTATTGCTGGCATTCTGTCGTCTGTCTGTCTGTATGCCACGAGTCTAGACCGTAATCGAAATTTGTTACAGAACTGAAATAGTTTTATGTAGAAGCTTTCCTTAAGCCGAATATTTAATTCAATTTCATTAATTTTCATGGGGAGTCTTATACATGTGACACATCATTGTCTAGAGCTCGTTGAGAAGGATATGAATATTGTTACGTGTCGGGATGGGTTTCGAAATTATAATGCCAATACACGCTTGACAGTTCTTTATTCACTACACAGTATAAACACTTTATAAGTCCTTATACAATCGCTCACTTTACTTGCACTTTGATTGCATAGCTAGGTAATCGTTACGAAATCACTGTTGAAACTCAACTGTCCCTGCCCGACGCCAAGCGCCCCTAGTAAAGGATAGCCGTGAAATTTGTCATTTTTAATAATTTTTGCTAATTAGTCTATCTCAAAATCGAAACTATAAGTTAAGAATGTGAAAGTTTGGTACCTATATGATATGCATATATATGGCTCATTATACATCAAAATTTTAATTTAAAATTGTACCTATTTAAACAACATCTGAAAACTCTGATCTGATTCATAACGTAACTTGTAAGGTGTGACGAAAACAAACAAATGATTTTTCTTTTCGTGGTATGTTGTGTACTGCGATGTAGATAGCGATATGTACATCTCAGAAACAAACTATTTCAAAAGTCAGTGATATTAGGTAGCTTCAATAACACGATTATTTCATTGTCCGGAACCCAAATAGAGCGATACTAGTCTCCCGCATGGCCAGGTTTGGTTAAATCAGTTTTGCTCCTAGCATGCCATACTTAGTTGGTCGATGCTATTGATTGATGTTTGACTTAAAAAAATGTTAAAAAAATCATTTTTGTCAAAAATTGCTTTAATGTTGTTCGCGCATATCTCCGAGATCAATTTCGATGATTTTTATTTTCCATTTAGTATAAAAGTTTACAAACTAAATAAGAAAAAGAAATTCTCTCAAAAATTGTAACAACTCTGGAAATCACTGAAAGA